TGTATTGTCTGTTTAATCTACAGTTTTTTTTTGTTTATAAAGTAAACAGAATTATTCACACTAGTAATTTATTGAATGATTAGATGATCACAGTTAACATATATATTCTTTTAAAACACAATTGTTAAAATAAACAGAATTAAACTTTATACTTGCACATATATTTTCTTGAAAATAATCATTAAAATGAACAGAATTAAACTTCATACCCACTCTGGTGATTTATTGAACTAAATAATTATGGTTAATTATGCATACATTCTCTGGAAAATAATTGTTAAAGTAAACAGAATTAAACTTCATACTTGCCCAGGTGATCTATCAAATGATTAAATTATTATGGTTAATCATGCATACATTCTCTCGAATTCAATTTCATACACACCATGGTGATTTATTGAACAAAAATGATTAAGGTGAATCGTGTATACATTTTCTTGAAAACAATTATTAAACTAAATAGAATTAAATTTCATTCTCACCCTGGTAATTTGTAGTTAATCATATATTAATTATTCATTCATAAATCAACGAAGTTATGACAATCCTTTTATGATATTAATTATGCAAAAGAATAATAATTACATATCGGTATCGGTATTACAAATTTAAAATAGTAATTATGTATAACAACTGATCACCTTACCTCAAAATTTCTTATGGTTTTTAAATATAGAAATATTCATAAACATGTTATCTTTAGAAGGTAAAATTCATCTATATTCTCTTACAGCACTATAGAAGTATTGTAAATTATTGTTATATACTGTATACTAAAATAATAAATGATTTAAAAATATAAACTTGTTAAAGCAGATATAGATTAATTTAATTTATTGCAAGTTTAATCATAGTAATACAAAATTTTATTTATTTAATCAAGAATGATCTTTTCTAAGTCTTTTAATGAATACATATAATGGATTTATCACCAAGTGATCAAAATATAATTTTTTGTTTTCTTTGTAAAAAATATTTTAAAACCCCAGGTGGCCTAGCATAACATAATTCTATTATTAAAAAATACAACTAATCTTCTAGAATTGTACGAATTCCAAATAAGGTATTAAAAGAATTTAAACAAACCATGGTTTTTCTTATTCATCAAAAACTTTTTAATAATTTTAAATATATGGGACATTAAAGTTTTCATGTTCCATGTTTAGAAAGTTTATTTTTTGGAGTATTTAAAGGCCATATTCATTATTCCAAAGCTAATATATATAAATGTATTTTTTAAGAACAGAATGCATATCAAACTTTAGCTCAAGTTTTTGACTCAAATAAATAGGATCGAAAATTCTATAAACAAAATCAACAAACCTATGTAGTAATTCGAAAAGAATTTCAGTTATCTAACAAATCAAATATGCATATATTAGAAGAATCTGAAATGGATATTGATCCACTTTTACAATTGGTAGCAAAAAAGCCGCAAACCAAAGTTTATTTATGGTGAAATTTTAGTTAAATGGCATTGTAAAAAAAAAATTAAGGAAAATAAAACAGTTTGTGTAGCTGGATTTATTTACATGCATTTTTTAATTAAACAAAAAAGAATTCTGACATAAATTTGTATGTATCAGTATTATAATTTGTATTATATATTATCACAGGGGTCATTGCCATTACAATTCTTGATGTCCTGTTATTTTTTTGTTCATATTTTGTATTGGTTTGGGTATATATAAAAAAAATGTTGAGAAGAATCATTTAAATAAATATGAAGAATTAAATACATTTATAATGAAGTTACTAAAATAGCTATTGAAAACTTTACATATAATAAATGAATATACCATAGTATTTAGTTTGATACAAAATGAATAAATGGTATATAAAAAACTTTAAAAAAGCCAATACTTATTTTACACGACTCAATTTTAAACCTATGCCTATTCTAATCTGAAGTATAATATATATACTGGATTTACTTTATATCTATGTCTGTAATGTTCTTCAATGCACTATATGCCAACAGACATGAAACCAGAGGTCTTGTAAGTTTGCTTTAAATTAAGATTATATATAATTACTAAGAATAAACACAAAAAATATATTATTTATATACATGTTATTGACTATTTTTTTATTTAAATATGAGATGATCTACTAGCATAGCATTTATATGATTTATCTTTCTTATCAGCACAATTGACATTTCATTTTTCTGGTCTACTCAATTTCTTAAAGCACAATAACTAAAATGATGATGATTATATTAACTTTTGCTGTATCAATAGGGGAGATAATCATGTAGATGTTGTGTTAGTAGAATGTCTCTTTATAGTGGATTACATATATATGTACATACGTACATACTTAATCTTATGGTTTCTTCAAGATGAGTAGGAGATAAATTAGATATATTAATCACAATTTTATGTTTAACATGTAGTTCAAATTCTTTCAAGTTTACATCTTTGATATATTAATTAAACATTGTGCATTTTATAAATAGTGTAAGGAACAGTACATCAACATTAAAGTAAATTTTCTAAAAAGCTAGATATTATATGCAAATTCAATTACTGCTATTTGTAATTCAAGACATATACCTATAAGGTATAAAGCAAACCATCTTTGTTTAGAAAGTTTGTAGATAATATATTGCAACATATTTACAATTGTACTTAAACACAGAATCTTCTTTTTTCATGCCCATTTTTTTACTTCACTTTTTATTTCTCTAGGATTTATTTTTTCATATTTATGTTCTAATTTGAATACCTTTACTAGTTAATAGTATACTAACAATCCCACAATAATATATTTAAACGATTAGAATCTACATTATTCATAAAAAGTTTACAAAATTTAAAACTTACTTAGTAACAGAATGTATATCTCCTATTAAATGTAAATTGAATTCATCTATTGGTATTATTATCATTCATGGATTTCTTCTTTTATATTAGTCTTCATGAAGGTTACTCAACACACAAGTTTTACTATAATACTTGTACTATGATCTTTATATTATTACAAAATTAATATAAAATACTGATATTATTTAATAGTAAATTCTTATGAAAACTGTCTTCCTTAATTGAGTTCTAATAATATATAAGCACTTTATGCTATCTATTTCAACTCTAATTCATAATTATTGTCTTGATAATTGAATCTAAATATAAACATTTAGAAGTTAAGTTTATATGATAACTTTGAAAACTTTAGATGGTTTAACAATACCAGCCTAGATCTCACCAGGTTTTGTTGTAAATACAATTCTAAATTGTAAGTAAGCTGAATATTTATCTGAATAGCAACGGTTATAATCTTATTAATAAACATATAGTTATTTAGAGACAAATATAAACTTTATGAAGGGTATATTTATTATAGTAAATAGTAGTAAATATATAGTAGTAAATAGTAAATAGTTAAGTAGAATTATACATACTGTACTAGATAAAGTTCAAAAAAAATTATATTTATTAGAGATCTTATAGTTTCACAAAACTTCTCATAATCGTCTTATTTTATTTACTGTATTCTTTTTTTTCTACTGTATTAATATTAAGGTCTAAAGTAGAAAAATAATACTAACTCTAAAAACTTATTTAACATATTCTAAGCTTTTTGCTTTGATTAAATAGATATTGAATATTGTTATAAGTATAGTAAAGAATATGATTTTCATGTTCTAAAATTTTAACTATAGATGATTTGCAATATAAAGAGTTTCTACTGTTTTTTAAAGTTTTGTGAAAAAACAAAGACACTTGATCATGATTTTTATACTCTACAGCTGCACATGAGAATGCTTTAATTTCCTATCTTTTATGCTTTTGCATTAATTCCTATCTGTGATATACAAAAATAAGTGTTTACCACAAAATCCTGAAAGACAGATTTCCGAAAGGATCTAATACTAACAAAGTTAGCTGGCATTAGTTATAATGCTGGCCAACTTAGTTGATATTATGATCTTTCGGGAAAGTGGCTTTTAGAATTTTGTGATAGAACCCAAAAATATGTATATATGGTATAACTTGACTTGGAAGATATAACCCATCAATAGTATTGTTTGGATTAGTTGAGATGCCTTGAAAAGGTGTTAAAAATAAATTTAACCAAAAAAGCACATCTTTTTTAAATTAAAGTGGATCCATTTTTTGATTACAAAATGCTTGATATAAAGAATAAAATTGATTCTATAATTGATGAATAAGCTTTGTATGACTAGAACGAAATAAAACTCCAAAATTAAATGATTGTAAAACCTTTAATTTGTCTGTGCCCATAAGCGAAGTATAGTTCCAATTATGAGATTCATGATTTTCCAAAACTGAAAAGTTATATTAATTCTTTTCATCTCATCAATAATAATTTTTCGAGATTTATCATTATATAATCCACAAGACTTAAGTTTTGCAATTATTAACTCCCAAAGCCTATCATATATTCGAAGCAAAACATGAAGCTTATCACAGATCCAGTTTTCAAGTAGGATCATATCAAACAGAGAAGCTCTAATGTGGCCATTTATATTATTCCAATTTAATCTAAGCTATTTCATTGTTTTAGTAATTTTCCAATCACCTTGTATATTTCTATGCTAATTTTTATTAATATTACACCAAGAACAAAAATAGGTAGAATTGGCAGCATTTAAACCAAGACAAATCAAAAAAAATTTTAAATCTGCACTAAAATAAAACTCGAAGTTTCAACATGTTGTTCCTATTTGCAATCCTTTTTTTAAAAAAAATTATAAATCTTCTATTAAAGTACTTAAAACAAATTTCAATATTTCATATTTTTCAGCTCTAGATATAATACTACGGTATATTGAAAATCTGATTCATAATGATGTTTAATATCATTTAAGATCATGAATATAACCATAATATAACCATTATATACTTGATCTTACAGCCAACATTTCGACCATTACCCAAAATCTGCAAATGAATAACCAGATCAGTACACTTTAAAATATTACTTTGTTCCAAATATGGAATAATATAATTAAGAAAATTTTTAATACTACGTTATGTACCAATTTTAGCTATGTTAATCATTTCCTGTTCAAATCCAAACCCTGCATTCATGGAATCTTTTTCAACTTCTAAGTAATTAAAATTTACTTGTGTAATTTTTATATTAGCTTCTATTTGTTTATTTAGTAATATACATTCATTAGATATTGCACCTTCACGTAGAATTATAAAATTAACTGCAGCTATTTGTTGATAACCTTCTTGTGAAACTTTAGTTTTATTCAAAGCCTGAACAACAGATAATTGATATTATTTTGTTTTAATTAAATCTTCTTTTCCAAAATTAATATAGAAATTATAACTATTAACAGAATAATCTATAGCTTTCATACTAAACAATTCTCTTTTGAATAATAATTTTGTGATACAGATTTTAATAATTTGCAAGCTTGATTTCTAAAATTTTTTGCTTGCTTAAGAATTGTAGAATCATAGCAGTTTTCAATAGATTTTAATTCTCTATTTTTTGCATTATGTGCTTTTTTTACAGATTTGAGTTATAATCCAAATATTAAAACCCTAACTATATTGTCTTAGAATTTGGATTTATAACCTATAAATACTACAAGTATTAAATTTTATTGATAATATATAGTAAACTTAAAATAATTTAATTTAATTTCTTATACCTTTTTCCACTTATTAGCAACCGAATTTGAAGAGGTGGAACTTATTTTATGTTCAAAATTTTTGGTTAGTTATTTTCATAATTTATAGAGCAGTATATTGTTTTTTTTTTTGTTTTATCTTATAGTAGTTTTTACACCATATTGATCTGGAATTTTAAATTGTCTTCCTTTAGAAGTAGACATATAAGCTGATTATAAAGTATTTAAATATACACCCTCTTTGATAATTTCATAATAAAAGCTATATTGGATAACATTATTATTTTTTTCTTTATAAACTATAATAAGGCTTGATGGATATGAAGAATTTTCTATGGTTTCAAGACCTATTATTAAATACAAAAGGTATTTAATTACATGATATAATTTTTTTTAAATTTTAAGAAACATTGACATGTTATTAAATTACTAAGGTATTATATTTTTTTTAAAAAAACAAACCATGATCAAAAAATTTTAATTCTAATTCGTATAGTATTGAAGCCCAAAAACTGTAAGTTTATAGTATAAAAGATCTTTTTTATAAATTTATTTGTTACAAATATTTTATATGAGTAATGCCAAGGAAAATTAGACTTTAGACTTTCAAGTTTATTATTTAACATTAACCAGACTTAATTCTGATTAATATATATATATATAATACTTAAGTAAATTTAATTATAACTCTAGTCAGGATTAATCTAGTAAATAATACAGTAATGAGAGCCTAAAATCTGGTTTTTTCTTGGTGGCACTCATATTTAATCATGGTGTAATACACTTAATTATTGTATTTGCCAATTTTCAAGTAGAAGTGCTTAATCAAGAATTGCATTATAGTACTTCTGTACTTGATATAATGCAATTTTTTAAAAATTAAGCATTAAATATATTGTATATCACATATACACATCAATGGTATTTAAAACGATTCTATATTATTTGTTATTGGGTGTGACATACAGTACAAGCTTGTGGCTATATATTAGAGAATGAGTTAACTCAATAGATCAGAAAAAAATTTTTAATTAGTCAGAAATTACTATTTTGATAAACAAATCAGTAAGACACAGAGTGTTCTTAAGTAGCAGAACAAATTAAAAAAGAGAAAGAAAAAAAAATTCACAGTTTTTTTCATCCTTCAGACTTTGCCAACTTTCATATATTGCTACAACAAAACTAGTTGATACAACCTATAAATAAATAAATATTGAATGTGAAAATTTTTTATAATATTTTTAGGTTTTACTTTTAGCTTTGGTAAAAGCAACTTTGAAAAAAAAAGGATGTTTGGACCACTATTTTTTATCAACTAGAATGATAAGTACTTTGATCATCTTCCAATAATTAAAATTTTCTCTATAATGTATTAAACTATTGTGGCTCTATATCATCCATTAGAATATTAAATACAATTAATTCAGAAGTCAACTTTTTTACCAATTAAAATTTGTGCTTAAAAACACCTACAAACCACCTTTTTTTTTAAAAAATTTATCATTAATAAAGGTTGCTCAAGCATTACTTTTACATTTTTATATCAAACATAATAAACAATTTTATTCTCAACAAATTGCTAACTGGTCTAAAAAGATAGCCATTTTATTTTTAATGATCGAAGCTTTTAAAACAATAATCGATATATTAATATGAAATTATATTTTATTTAATTTAAAACCTTCTTAGTAAAGAAGGCTTAAAACTGAAAGATTTGGATGAAAGTTTTTTTATAGTTGATGGATAGTAAAGAAAATTAATTGTTAAAATCATTAAAATTATTAAAAGAAATAGCTGACATAGTTAAAGTTGAAACTTTAAAAAAAATTTTTTTATTAGATAGTATAACGAACATTATGAAAAACAAAAAAAGTATGATCAATTGATTTAAATGCTTAAAGACAGCCTAAATTGAAAATAAATCATAGCGATGCATATGTGCAAGTTTTTTTTTGAATATTTAAAAAATTTATTAAGTATGCAAATAAAATTTTAAAGAAAGGCTACACAACATATATAAAATGTAGTAGCTGCACAAAGTAAGATCTTTTAGTAATATTTAATAAATTAATTTGATTGGTTAATGATTATCACTATAAATTAATAGTTAAATTACATTGTGAATAAAAAAATAATCTTTATAAGTTTGTAGAAGAAAAGTATTAATAGAAGCAACTTTACCAAACTTCTTAGATCAAACCAATAGTAGAAGCATTTTAGAAGAATTTACCATACATTAACTTGAATTTTCATAATTAGAAACCCAAGTGATGTTTTATAAAACATTGCACACTTGTCTTGAAGAAGCACTAGCAAAAGCATGCAAACTATTACTCTTCATTTTGAAAAGTTATATTCGAGAGGTTAGGTCTTTGTACTTATATTTTTTTTATTAGAGTGATAACCTCTAGCTAGATATTAAATTTAATTCAATAGTACAGCAAGCTTACTGTGATAATTTTACAATATTTTTGCAATATTTAAGCGCTACAAAGAGAAAATAAGACTTCTGGATCATTTATTATTTACCAGATTCAGTTAATAAACTTGAAATCTCAAAATTCATTTTACTTTGACAGCATTCATTTATTTTATTTGTATTAGATAAGTATAAAGATCATAATTTATTTTATTTTATTTTTTTTTTGGTATTAAGGTGACCTCTTTGGTCTGGGAAACTTTTTATTAGAGTATAGATGAAGTTTTATATGTAA